ATTATGTTTTTTTTCCACATACCTACATAGGATAATAATGTCATAGTGTACGCAATGTGATTTACCGACATTATTAGGAAACACTACCGTGATTCAGAAATAGTTAAAAAATATATATCAGAATTATTAGACACACGATGTAAACTTCTATGTCTTTTCCACACTAATCACTTGTAACCAAAGGATGTGGTGCCAATGTGTGATTCAGGTGGCATGCTGATTAATGAAAGAAATGAATGTGAAATCCTATATGGTATTAACTGAAACAAATTTTTTTGTTTTGTTTTAAACAGACAACCCCAAAAATACCCTGTAAAATTCTTTTAACTTTCCCTTTCCTCTGTGAATCAAATATCACAAGAGTCTAATCAAACCCCTTTATGCAGGGTGTTCAAGCTTGCTGCTCCCTGCATCAGAATACATAACAGTTGAAGTTTATTAAATCTAGCTTATAAAGATGATGATTTTCATCATATTGATTTGTTAACAGATATCCCCGAGACAGAAAACAATGAAGATGAACTCTCACTTGCACAATCATTCTCCTCTGTAAATCGACAATAGAATAACTCTCAGGAAATACTAATATATTATATATCAATAATGCATTCATCACACACCAACCACAATGTGCATACACACACACACACCCTCAATAACTCAAGATTTGTGACATCCCACTCACATCACAACCTAAAAAATTTCAAGATCATATAATTCACATCTTCTCCCTAATAAATTGGTGCATTAAACAGTTGTCTATGGTGGCGCGCTTTACAGGGTCCAGCATGAGACACCTCTCCAGGAGATCCTTCAGCTGGGTGACCTTTCTCGTGTGGTCTTCAGGTAGGTTGGACTCCCCTAACATCTCATGGAGGAGGTTTCTTGTAGGGTTGATTGTGGCCATGACTACAATCTTCTCCTGTAACAAGGAAGCAGAAGGATGAGCAAAAGCAACCAGACATTGCATATCAAGCAAAACAATATTAAAATATTATCCTCTTTCTTCTTCTTGCACTAATCTGAGAACCTTCTATCCCTATAATTCTCAAATACTTCAGAAATTTTCAACAATATACTCACTCTCTCTGTCACTTTGTCCATATCTCTATACAAGAAATTACAAGCACCATCGAAGTGCTGGTCCTTAAAGGCTCCTTTCCTAATGACCTTGTTTGGCATCTTTCCCTTGAGATCCATGAACAGTTTTAACATCTGCAAAGAAAGTTCTGATAAGCAATCTGAACTCTTATATTCAATATCACATAAAAATCTTTGTGCTTGCATTTACCAGCTTGTGTGTATGTACTTGGGGAAGCACAATCATTACAGTGTGTATTAAAGAGCACACAGATCTCTCTATACATTCTGAGATGAACCCTTCTATTTTCTTTAAAGCACACAGCACAGATAAGCTTTCACAAGCACAGACATAACATGTATATAAACAGCAAAAACAAATATCAAACAAACCTGATTGTTTGTCTTCCCAGGGAACATGATCTTTCCAGTATAAAGTTCATATATTGTACATGCAGCAGACCACAAGTCAATCCCGAAGTCATAAGTCATTCCAAGGACTGAAAAAGATAAAGGTAGTTAAAAGAGATGAAATCATACTCAAACTTACTCTATATGAGCACAGACAATTTGACGAATGTAAATATGTCACTTATAATTTCTAAATGACTTACTAATTTCTGGAGCTCTGTAGAATCGTGCGACTAGATATGGTGTTATCTCATTTTCGGTCACTTTTGAAGCAGAGCCAAAGTCACAAAGTTTCAACACCAGCTTCTTTTCATTCACCTGAAAAGGAGTTTACCATTTTTAGTTAGATCAACAAATGAAAGATTGACATACCATCTTGTACTTTAAATCAAGTAGCTCAGGGTAAACTCCAAGCCAGACTAAATCTATAAAGGCAGTAATGGGGAATGAAGAATTCTACACTACACATTACTACATCCTCATCAGAATGATTATTTTTTATCACAAAAAACAAAATATAAATATAAATTGCAGTGTGGAGTTGCTGACTGTCATTTGTACATTTTTCTTTATAGGTAACCATATAAAATACATCACTTACCAGAATATTATCAGGCTTGATATCTGCATGAAGAATATTGCATTTGCGAAGTAGCTTCAGGGCACAGAATAATTGATGTGTATAAGATCGGACTGCTTTTACATGCAATCCTACATCCTTACCATATTTTTTCAACACCTGAAAAGGAATAAAGAAAAGTGAAAAATTAAAGACTACTTGGTTGATGAAAAACTCTGATATGACTATTCATATTCACATGAAAATATATGTGTATGTATGTATGTGTAAAAACAAACAAACACACACACACAATGTATATATGAGTATATATATATATATATATATGTATATATACACATATATATGTATATATACAAATATATATGTATATATACACATATATATGTATATATACATAAATATGTATATATATACATAAATATGTAT